CAGATCTCAGGGCCTGATTTGGCAAGTTGCAATAGAGTGAGTACAGTGCCGTGCTTGTAGTAGGCCGGAAAGGTACGGGAATAGTAAATTAGGGTTGTATAAATTGGTGCTGTAACGTCCGTGCTGACACCTCTCTTGCCTTTCAGCAGTGGTAAGCCAAGCACTTGTATTGTCTGTCTATTCATTCATTACCGGCATTGTCCTGATTTCTTTTTTTATTTCCTCCTCCATTGGTACGGGAGGGAGGGGAAGGGAAAACTGAAGCTTATCGGCACACCCAACGTAGCATTCACCAACTGTGCCCGCCCTGCTACTGCTGCTTCTATAAGGAGACACTTCCCGTCCTACCTGGTTCCGCCATTCGCATGAAAGGGTCCAGCTCCGGTCCAGCTCCGGTCTGGCGTAGACCTGAAAGGATAAGAGAATCTGTTCCCCAAAACGAGCGCCATCAGACCCAGTATGGTAGCAGACCCAGTATGGTAGCCGTGCCATCCGTTATTAGCCTTTTATGGTCCCATCCCAATGTTTCCTACTGTGAACGTGCCGTATCGAATCAACCAGGACCCTCCCCAAGCGGTTATCCCCTCTGCGCTCTTGTCCATTAGTGCTGCTCTTCCTATCCCTTCGTCTGTATTACGGACCTCATGTCCGAGCCAGACTGGGCGATAGTACAGTGCTCGTATCACCCCCTGAGGAAAGGGTGGATTAACTCTCCGAGATCATAAATTCGTTGGCCGGGTCACCATCAAGTGACCAAAACCACGCCTTTATGCGACCGGTATATGGAGATGGGGGGGACAGAATACGCATTGAAGGATGGGTGAAATTGGGGCACACACACAAACGAAGGGATGATGAACAGTTAAACTTCTGGGGGCTACGCAACCACCTTAACTTACCCTACACCCCCGCCCCCCCCCCCCCCCCTCCCTGGGCCCTACCATCTTGGTATCATGGAGCGTACTATGCTGTGCGAGTGCAGCAAAGCGCCGTCCACAATTGTACGGTAACCGTAAGGATACCCACTCCCGTGCTGGCCACTCCTGCCACCCAATGTGTAGATCTCGTTTCGAGAAACTCGCTCTTCTGTCCTGCCTTACGTCCTCCTCCTCCTCCTCCTTCTCCTCCTCCCAACCCAACAATACCCACCATGATATCGGGGGTTTTCCTCATGTCGCTTCGCCCCTTTGTGCGAACCCCAGATTAGACCGGAGATTTAAGACCGGGGCATGAGAACTCCCCCCCCCCGGCAAGACCCAATCCAAGAAATCGAATCCCGAGCACGGAACAGAACAAGGTCACAAAAGTCTTACCATACGGAGCGAGAAAGTGCAGGCAACATAGCCCAGCACAAGCACCAGAGCCGCGGGAGCAGCAAACACGGCAACAGATCATTCGACCAATCCTCCAGTCACTCGAATCAGATCACATCGGGTTAGGGACGGTGTCTGAGTGATACAGTACTAAGCCCAGTCGTTTAGAAGAGAGTTGGGTTTGGGAGGAAAAAGGAATCGAGCCCCAGAACCTTCTTGTGCCCACGCTAATTTACATACCTGCCTAATCACACTGTGCTTTCCTTAGCTGTGGGTCACTTGGCTACGGATCCATTGGGAGCGAGAAAGGAAATTACGGAGCAGCAGGGATTGGGAACGATCTCATCCATAGGAACGGGAAAGGTGGATTTTATTATTATTTTATTTTGCCCTGAGAAAGGGAGCATCCGGACAAGAAGGACCTTTATTACGGAGGTGATATTTATTTACCTGTTCAGAAGGGAAAACTGGTCCCTGACCTAGTGGCAACCTAAAGTGTATGTCATCCTCTTCCTTCTCATTGTCCAGCTCATTACATTTTTTCGTTAAATTTTTTTTCCCTATCACCATTTTTCCCTCGTTACCTTCTGATTTCCTAGGATTTCCCCCATGTGTCTGCTTGGGAGGAAAAAAAAAAAAAAAGAAATACATCTCAAATGCCCGTCTTTTATTCCGTCTAAACTTACCGGATTGGAATTTCCCGTTATCCTTTCTTACTTTTTTTTTTTTTTTTTTTTTTTTTATCGATCCTGTTGGTGGGGTTTTGGCTGGCTGGAGTGCGGTTTTGGCTCCTGGGGTTAAGGCTTTCCTGCATATGTAGGATTCAGAGGCAGCAGCAGCGACATCAGAAGAAATAGCCTTTCTTGTGCCGCTGTTGTGTTCGCAGCCGTACCCTGCCCTTCCACATAATCCAGAACACACACCCCCAACCAGTCTCACTAACGGGCGCCGGCAATCCGATAGATTGTGTCCGTTGCCGCTGACACTTGATATACTCAGCGCCTCCCTCCCTCACTACCCCTCCTGCTTCTTTATCCTCCATTTTCCTCCCACCTTTTTTCTTTTCTTTTCCTTCTCTCCTCCTCCTCCACCCTCTCCTCTACTACTACTACTACTTCATCTCTCGCACACGCACTTACTCTATTAGACTACCGTCACACTATCAAACTCCTTCCACAACACCTACCTTGCCTTGAACAGTCCTTCCCTCACCTGTTCAAGGGACGTCCATCGTCGACTAGTTGCTGCACTACTAAACCACCACGCACACACATACACACATCCGCCCTTGCGCTAGCACTACAATCGGCTTTGGTGTCCTTCTACAAAGAACAAAGGGTCATATCAACCTGGGCTACTGCCATACCGAAGCTTCCAGGATATCGGTATTAGGGACATCGGACAAGCATAGGTCTTGCAAGCAGGGGGTGGTGAGGGGAGGTTATAGATTAGAAAAGAATTATCTGAGGCCTACAGGGGGACTGCCTCCAGAACACGAAATGGAGACATATCATGGCCACGTACGATCGCCGGCGGATGCAATAATATTGTTCGAAGCTTGTCGATTAGGCCTACTGCCACGGGTACAGAGACGGTTATCGGAGAAGGAGAGGCAGAACATCAAGTCTGGGAGCGTATTCGTCTGGGACGAGCGGGAAGCGGGGATGAGGCGGTGGACAGATGGGAAATCATGGAGTGCTAGTAGGGTTTCCGGCAGCTTTTTGACGTATCGGGAGATGGAGGGGAAACGCGGTGGAAACGCTTTTGCCCCTCCTACCACGGCGTTGTCGGTCGGGGGTCGTGTAGGAAAATCACCTAATCCTGACAGTGATTCTGATGGTATAGATACCGAAGGGCCAGATGGGTATCGATACAAGCCGGATGGGTTGATGAAACAATCCTTTTCTATCACCACCGCCACTCACCAGAAGCTACATCTCATCAGTTACTACGCGCGTTCGCACCCCTCATCCCAGAATCTCATCCAACCCACACAGGACGGTGCGTTAAAACATATCAGGCCTGCAAAGGGGATGTATCCGGAGAGCACAGTACATGAGCAACAGAATGTACCAGTTGTAACTCGGGGCCCCATGATTGCGACAAGCTTCAACCATGCACAATCACCTAATGCTTTAATCCAGCGGCCACCTGGAGCAACGCATCCCAACAGCTATCCCCAACAGGGGACGTATGGTTGGCCGCCTAGCCCTGTTTCAACACCCCCAACAAACCTGCCACCGTCCGCCCAGTATGCACAGCAACTACCACTGCCAAATAGCGCAGCATCCTCCCCCATGGCATACAATCCTCCAACTTTCCCATCCGCTGCCGGGTCACCAATGCAGTATGACAGACCGCCACTCCCGCACCTAGATAGCATCCCTCCGCAACCATCACATAGAGGGTCCATGGGATCCCCGATGATGCACATCCACCGTTCCCCACGGGCTGCTGTGCAACAGATGCAGAGGCAACCATCAGATATACCCATGCCCTCTCTGCCGTGTCCCGATCAAGGCGGCCGGTTTTCTTCGCCGGCTAGTAGCCTGAATGGTCGGTCACCTCCTAGAAGCGAAAAGTTTGATATCAATCCTCTCCGGCAAAGCCCGAGTGGGGGGATGGATGGTGGTAGCAGCCCTGGGAGGAACGGGCTCGATGTACAAGATATCCCAAGTGAAAAACTAGGATTTGGGGAGGATGCTAGGGCTCTCCGGGTGTTGGATAGGGTTTTTATTGCGTGATGATCTGGAGTTCACAAGATACCTCCAAAACCTTTTGTCTTTTGTTCGCTGGATGGCCGTGGGGTTAATTTTAATAGCCTCGGTTCGGTTTGAACCTTTCTGCCCACAATAGGAGGAAATCTCACTTCGATAGCGCTTTCGTGAGAGGGGGGGGTTGCTTTTGGATTTGCAAAATTACGTGCTAGGATCTATTTTCTTCCACTAATCGGCTTTTTATCTCTCTTTTTCCTCTTTCCCTTCCCTCTCTACCTTTCCTTTGCTAGTGCTTCTCATATTGTTTTCACTTTCTCACTCTTTTTTTAATCGCCATGGAATATTTCTGGGTTTTTTTTTCGTTTTATTTCACATTCGGTGTCTGGTTTTCATTTTCTTCTCTCTCTTGCTATTTCCATCATCATCAAAGTTTCCTTTTTATCTGTGGGTCTTTTTTTTAGGGGATTTTTTATTTTTATTTTTATATCTATAACATTCGGTTTTTATCGTAGGGATAGAACATGGACCGGGGGATAACTTGTTTTAACGGAGAAACGATAGGGCATCTTTTTATTATTCCTTTCTTTCTTAGGGGAAAGGGAGGGTCTAGGCAGAGCAGCTGGTTTATGGGCCAATTTTTTTTAGGGGTTATTGGGGGTAAAATTCAATAAAGTAATCGGTTCTTTTTATTTATTTTTTCCCTTCCACTCGCTCTCACTCACTTCGTATCGTAGTGAAGTGAGGTGTGATCTGTATGTATGATGTGTGATGTGTGGGTGGGCGTGTGTGAAACTCGCAATCTTGCCTTTTCGAAAAGACTGTTCAGATCGCGCATTGTCCATTAATAGCTTTCCCACCTACATTACTGTGACACCCCCCTTCATTCCATTCTCCCACCCCCACTCCCCATGGGAAAGAGAGAGGGGAGGGGAGGGGAGAGAGGGAGAGAGGGAGAGAGAGGGAGAGATACCACCCAACATACCCACCCAGAAGAAAGGTAGAAGAATCCCACGTGGTTGATTGGGAATAAGCATAAGTTAACTCTGTTTAAGCGCTCTCATTTCGGTCCCCGCCCCCCACTGATCTACCTACCTTAACCCACCGGTACGTACCTTCCCATCCATTCATCCATCTCAGCCCTGCGAGCAACATACATACATATCATACCTACGTACTTACATGCGGTACCCACGGCACATTTCTTGTACGGGTACAGTGCTCTCCAGTATAGCATACTGTATCGCATTTTCTTTTCTTTTCTTTCCTCCCCTTTTCGTTCCATTCTCATGCATGCGCCCATGCGTATATCGATTGTATCGCATCGCGAATACTAACTTATGTTTTTGTGTCATCACCCTCACCACCTAGTGCCTTACGTGGGTAATCTTTACAATCCCCCTCCCCCTTCTTCCGAATCATTTTTCTCTTAACTTAACTACCCGACTGTTCATTCCTTCTGGGCCTCTCCCACCGGATTCCGGATCCCCCCCATATTCGAGGCGCCTTCTTCCTGTAGCTTTTTTAACATTGCTTCGCGGTTATGCTCCATCACTCGTCGCTTTTTGAAGTACTCGACCTGTATCCCCCTCTCCCCCCATTAGTCTCTTTGTATCTTTGCGTGCGTGTATGAACGGGGGAATGTGGGAGGAGGAGGAGGGGTACCCATGACCCTTTACACTCCTTTTCGAAGGATGCCTCTTCGGGGCCGCAGAAGGATTTGGATTCTTTCGGGTTTTTGAGCGGGTCTAGGATGTTGTGCTTGTCCAGACAGGCGAAGAATTGGTCCCGCGTGGCCCAACAGAGGGCTCGCTGGGAGCGGCTTGGGGCAATGGGAGGGGTGCTGTTGGTGGCGGATTGGGTGAAGTTTAGAAAGCCCATTTTCGGAGGTGCGTGAGGGGGGGGGGAGTGGCGTAGATTTTTAGATGCGGTGATCGCGAGGTGGTGGTAACTTTGTTGTTTGATGTCACGGTTGGATGCTACTTTTTTGAAAGGTACTCGAGTAATGACGTTTGGAATATCCACCATTTTTAGCTGTAAGAAGCAACTCGAAAGAATGTATGAAAAAGGCCAAAAAGCCTTCCCAAATGTTTAGTAACCAATAAAATTCCGGTAGTGTAAATTATAACTGGATTCATACATTCTTCCTTCATTTCCTGTCGGGTAGCACCGGCTTGTCATCAAAGCGCATGTTTCGCCGATCACCTCCCATGAACTAAATGCTCGCCACACCTCCACCCATCGACCACAACCCGAAGCCTAATACAACAACGAAATACGATGCCGAAACGTCCGCGAAGACTCCGCAGACCATCACCGGATGCCTTCCAACCTCTAAGAACCTTCCTACAAATCCTCTCACTCCAAACAATCTACTATATTTCCAGCTTCGTCCTAATCCTCTTCACCGCGCTCGTTGCTGGCTGCGCGTTTTCCCTCGACCTGATATTCTCATGGCGCAGCGTTCGCGGCGATAACGCCGTCGGTTGGACGCTGAGTATTGTTTGGCTGTTGTGTTCTGGTATCATGTTTGTTGCCCCCCCCCCCTTTCCGCCTCTACCACCCAGCTAGCTAATAGGGGGCATACTTATCCAGGGTAATAGCGCAACTCCTGGTCCACGCTCGTAGTAAGATGGTTCTGGACTTTAGCCTTACGCTGCACTTTTTGCATCTATTGGTTGTGACCGGATACGAATGGGAGTTGCCGAAGAGCGTGCTCTGGTGGGGATTACAGGTTGCGTCAGCTGCTTTGATGGTCGGGGTCGGCACTTGGGCGTGTCGGTGGAGGGAGCTGAGGCCTATTTCCTTTGGTAGTGGGGGGGTTGGAGGGGGTACCGTGGGTGCGGGAGATCCGAGTGGGGCGTATGAGATGGTTAGGATGAAGGAGGAGGAGGTTTGAATGCTCGCGGCGGGTGATGGTGATGGTGGTGGGAGGTTTGTGTTCTGTGGGTTTCACGTGGCGGGGCTGCCGAGCATGGGTTATACGGGTTTCTACAGCATGGGTTCGGCACGGGCGTTTTTTGTTTTCTTCCTTATAACTCGTTTACATTTTCTTGGTCTGTCTCTTTTATGCTGCTGTTGTGCTATGCTATAGATCATGGTGTGAGGTATGGGTAATGTAATTGTTTTTTCTATTTTTATTTTATTTTCTTTGATCGTTGTTTTCAATCTTATGTTCTTTTTATCTTTTGTTTTTTTTTGCAATTCCAACATGCAGAGGCCGGATGGAGATTCGGAATCATATCGTTTCTACATGATACCTGCCTATACGGTTCAGCTGATACAACTCGGCCTACGAATGACAGGCGAGGCGTGGGTTGTAAGCTTATGTACCGTGCTTGCACCCACATTTCCATACCATATCACGAGCAGCTGGCTGGCGCATGAGCTATGCCATGGCGGAGCTGCTCGATCCATGGGTTATGATATTCGAGTGATAGTGTGTGAACATGGGATTATGCTTACCCTAGTGATTGATGCGCGAGAGCTGCACGATGCCATTGTTTGCTCTGACGGGCGCACCGCCGGCCATATGAGGGCTCAGCCGGACCGAAGGGCTGCAACTCCGGACCGCGTGAAATACGGAGGAAAGTCTTTCTGGGGCGTTTCATCCACCTCCCCCCTCTCTTCCGTCCGGGCATTAAAGTTGTCCTGGGAGGAATGTAGGGAGGGCGAACACAGTTGTGAACCGAGAGCATATGGGTGAAGGGCGGCCGGTCGGTAGAATACCAACGGGGTGTCGGGGTGTCGTTCCGAAGGGTAGCTAGCTCCTTGGGAGCCACGGTCTTCCCCATGAGAATTTTGCGGAAAAATGGACGGGACGGGTGGTGCCGCCGTCTTTGAAGGTACTAGTTTCCGGCGGTAGCGTTTTTCTTGTGGGTGCCCGCGGGCCCACCGCCGGTTTCCCGGGAGCTTTCTATGGGGTTTTCTCGGGGCTATCGTATATACCGTCGCGCCCCGCTATCCTGGATCCCGCTGAACCGGATGCCCTGCTGAGCTGGATAGAATATCTGGCTCCTCCAATTCCTTACAAGAGTTACCCCGTCGGGGCCGGAAAAGTGGAATTCCGGATTCATGTGAGATTTTGGGAAATCCTATCACCTGTTCTTGTAGAAAATCGACCTGCTGAACCGGATCCTATGACTACTGGCTGAAAAGCTAGTCTAAAAGAGGGAAGAAAAAGGCGGGGCTGAAGGTAAAAGTAGCGGGGTAAAGGAGTAAAGGGCTACTGAAGATGAGGAAAGGGGCAGAGCAGAAGAGGATATATAGTGAGAGCACCAGGATTGCAATTCTTGAAACACCAACAGACGATAATTCACTGATTCTTGAAAAAAAAACGTGTTGAACTAAGATGGAGGTGAGGTATATTACTAGTGGTGATCTAGAGGAGGAGTAACATCAGCTCCTACCAATTGGATATTCGAACTGTTTTCATACCACCTATGACAATTTGTCAAGAGTAAGCTTCTTATCGGAATAGGAATGCATATTCTCTGTTTTTCTTCGGATGGTACTCTCTCTCTCTCTCCCGTTCCGGACGAAATCTGTGAAGTCTGGCCATCCGGGATGGCGAGGTGCGACTGCATGCATATCACTGGTTCTCTATTATACGCCGTGAAGCTCGTCTCGGGGCTTGATCTGGTAACCCATCTAATTCGAACTTCCCATCCTTTGCCCCAAGCCCTAAGCCCATCAACGAGGCATCCTTAACGAGCACGGCAGCACGGGAGGATGGAAGAATGGGTTGATGAGTGAATGGAAATGTGGAAATGTGGGTGGGGGAGGTAATCCAATTCCCTTGAGGTCTCGAGGAACATATGCTGGTATGTGCTCGAGTACGGTACACAACTTGACAAAACAGGAAGTGTGGGGCCACAGCCTTACTTTGATGTGGGAGCATTTACTATGCAGGAGATTACAGCAGTAGCTAAGAGTCATTTCCTCCGAGCTCTCCTCACGTCGCTGGGGGCTGAGGGGGGGAGCGGAGTTCGCTTTCCTACCTTGGGCGGCAATAAAGGGGTCTACTAATTTTTGGGGTAATCCACACTTTTTGTTTGTGCCAGTATAATGTTTTGTGCTGTGATATCTATGGTGCTTGTGCGGTTTTGGTGGGCTCGCGCGTGCGTTCTTTGTTCTCGGAGTGGGCGATGAAGCTTGATGCTTTAGGTAAAAAGCGGGGAAGGGTCTCGGTCTAGGGTTGTGCTGAGCTCTGGAGCTACATAGCAGAGGTAGTGACGCTTCTGGAACGACTTTTTAATACAAGTACAGTACTGAGATTTTTGGATGGACTCGTATATGGATCTTTTGGCGTTATCAGGGGAAACAAGCTGAGAATTCATCAGCGTCAGCTGGGTAGTTGAACTCCGATTCTAGTAGTGTTTATAATGGGTGTATTTGCGAGGGTGTGCGGAGGTATGATACCGGTACAATACGGGGCTTTGGTGGTGCCTGGATTTTGTTGCAGTGCTTTCGGGTTCTTGTGATGGGGTATGTAGTGACGAGAGCGTGATTACCGTGATGGGATTAATTAGGTAGCATATTGCACTACCGGTGCTTAACCTTGCCTCACGGGAAAATGAAATGTGGGGAAATGGTGACATGTAGTGGTTGTTTTGATTTTCCCGATGGTATGAAAAATATATGTTAGGCTGGCCGATGCCTTCCATGCACTGCAATGATCTTCACTGGATTGGTGTGGAGGTCTCTGGTTTGGCGAACTGATAGTGGAATTCGACCAGCCTTGGCGTTCGAAATTTACCCCGCGTCTGAAGAGGTTTCTCGAGGCCCAAACAGCACGTTTTTACTTGGGCGGTGCTCTTCGCACGCTATAGGCTCAGGAGAGGTTCGTGTAGATTTGTCGCCGGATCGCTCCAGGTGGGCGTACTCGAGTAGATCCCGGCCATCAATGACACAACTGGCAGGATCTTCCACCCATCTAAATTTGGCTGCAGTAGACTGGGGTAATCTCGGTTGGAGCGGGCTTTCTACATCAGCCTCCCGGGCAAGAGATATACCCGGTTGAATTTGGAAGAATTGTTCTAGAGGTCTGCGGGAAGTCATCCACTGTCTACTGTACTAGTACAAGTACTCGTACAAGCAAATTACGTTGATCTGGCAGACGGTTTGGTAATGAAAAACTAGGGATCATGTGACTTTTGAACTGATATATAAACCCCCTCCCCCCACTCCACCTTCAACATCCAACGCCTTTGAGCGGGTTGGCGGGATAGTCCTTCCGGATGTGTCTTCTGTGGATGCTTGGCAATTGTGGGGCTTGGTTTAATTTCCTATCAGTGCTCGAGCAAATACCGGTATCCCTTTGTGCGGAGAATTAGCTGCATGGCGGCGCTCGAGCTAAATTGCACCCTTCTGATTGGTTCGCAGGTCCAGGTGCTCCAGCTGGTGTTATAATGAGCTTGGCTTTGGGGCTTACATACGGTCTCTGGTGGCACTTTCTTGCTACACTAGCGTCTTTTTGCTGGCTGCTGTTCTTTTTTCTGCCCCTGGGATGGGGACACGAGGCCTGAGCTTTGATGGGCTGCCGTGAGAAGCCCCACCCAACACACTCGTATTTAGTATCAAAAGGCTTAAATCCATTAGCAATTTTGTGAATCATGGAAACGGATGGTAATAGCACTCAAGGGTAATGCCGGCACCACCACACCACCATGTAGGGATGGGGAGGGAGAGAGAGATCCGGGGACGAATGGATTTCACAGGCTATTGTGCCAGGCGGTGAGTGTGGGAAGCATGCTGAATGCCGCCATCGTCCGATACCGAGTGATTAGTTTCAAAAGGCTTATCTTTTCCAGGGCTGATGGCGATTATCGCTAAGCGCCATGGAAACGGCTCGAGACAACTGCCCTTTTGCAAAAATCCTTGCTGCCCGGGGCTCGGGCTGACGACGACTTTCAGCTTGTGAACTCTGCGCACGCGTCCACAAAAAACTCGACTTGAGCGCCATGCTCGCTGCGCTATCTCCCCCCTACCCCCTATCGAGGTTGGCCTACTCTCCTTGATTTAAATCATTCTACTGGTGCCATTACCGACACCTGCCATTCTCGAAATCCCCATTGGCCTCGCCCTGGCGTACTAAGACACCTGGGGCCTGATATCATGGTTTGACATTATTTTACGTGGCATATTGACTGGGTGCCGCGGCATCCTAATAGGCCGCCATTGGGGGAAACTATCCTGAGTCTTTTTCCCTCCCGTCTCCCTTGACCGTCAAGTGGCTGTGCCCGGCGAAGATCCTGATGCCGGTGGACTGCTCGGGTACGAGTTCGCAGTGGGCGAATACTACTGCTACAGAACCCTCCAGATATGGTATCGGATGAACTAGCCTATCCAAATGCGGAGTTATCCGTCACAATGGCATGAGAGGTTCGCTTAACTGTTTGGCCTGGCTGCTCTCACTCAATGTAGCTCAGGGGCTTCTTGGCTGTTTTGAAAGCCGGGTACTGGCGGTCACCCGTGGGGGCGTTCATGGTGCGTCACTCGCGGAATGTGGAAGTTGGCATGCGGCATCTTCTTGCTGGACTGGTCGGGCTTGGGGGGGGGTGCCGCGAGGTTGAGGAGATAGTCGGATGGACTCGCTAGGGTACGGACGACTATTTTTTTTGCTTTGAAAAGCGCCTGCCCGAGCACTGTACCGATACTGTACTAGTGCCCAAGCACGGGCGAGATCTAGGACCTACGGGATGAGACTTTAATGTTCGGACCCGGTGGTGGTCGACAATTTTTGAAAGGCATCCTCTTCCGGGGAACTTGGTGGGGCCAGCTGGATAGGAACGATTTTTGCCGTTATTAGGCTAGCTCATATTTCGGCGGATGGTTGGCTATACTGTACAGAGATCTGGGATTATAATCTGAATTGCGGGATAAGCTTTCGGACGGCAGGGATGACTATGGCTTCTCATGGGGAATAAGGTTTGAACAACAACGCAAAGGCCTATTGTCGGGGAAGCGGCCCTGGTGAGCTTTGGGCATGTCAAGGTAGGGTTGGAGTGTTGTCAGTGGTCTGTCCGCGGTATGCCTTTTTTTTTTTTGGCTCCGGTAGGATATTGACTCTTGAAGAATTGGAATCGTCCACAGTTTATCACTCATATCTCGACAACTGGTTGGGTGAAAGAATTTCCTGGAAAATGTTTTAGTTTGGCCTTGCGGAACTCAATTATAAGTGTACTATAAAACAAGATGTGAGCTGATGACAAACTCAACCGAGATTCCGGTTAAGCAACAAGTGCAAGAAGGATTTAGCTAATATAGAGCCGTGAAAAATAGGAAAAATACTCTCGCTATTATCGTATATGCGTACTCGCTAGTAGAACTATTAATTCACCAAAGAGAAAGGATGATATAGCGAAAAAATACAAAAGAACTTGCAGCTATCAGATACTCGTGCGACTCAGCTCAAAAGAAAGAGGACCGGAAAATAGGACACTGTTAAAATTCCCCAATACTGAATACCCGCCCGTTGCATTCACACCTACACTTCCCCTTAGACGCGGAAGTGAAGCTGGGAGCGGCAGTAGTGGTGAGATTAGGAATCTTGGAAACAACTCCGGTTGTGGTGGGCTTGACATCACCGTTTTCGCCTGAAGCGGTCACCACTGGAGCTTGTGCCGAGGTGGTGATTGTTGGCTTGACAGCTGAGGGCGAGGAAGGGTTTGCGATGGCAGTCGTGGTAGGTTGCTTTTTGAGTGAGCTAGGGGACGCTGATGGGGCAGATGAGGAAATAATCGAAGATCCTGCACCCGATCCTGCGCCCGATCCTACGCCCGAGCCGGGGGAGCCAGATCCCGAAGAGGGTGTGCCGGAAGGGCCATTTGATTTCGAAGTCTTGGACGGGGTGGTAGGAGTAGTGGCCGATGGGCCACTTCCGGAACCAGCACCAGCACCAGCACCAGAACCGGAACCGGAACCAGAACCAGAACCGGAAGAGCCTGTGCCGGAAGGGCCGTTTGATTTCGAAGTCTGGGACGGGGTAGTTGGAATAGTGACTGATGAGCTACTTCCAGCACCAGCACCAGCACCGGCACCAGAACCAGAACCAGAACCAGAACCAGAACCGGAATCGGAACCAGAACCGGAACCACCAGGTTCACCATTTGAAGAGCCAGATGAACCGCCACCTCCTCCCGCGCAGCTCCCGGCCGGAGGGGCAGTCTTCGTGGATGAATTGACAAGATTCTTTCCGGGATTTGGGAACAAAACATCGCCCCCCTCAGTAGTGGAGCATCCATTACCAATATTCGCTGTAAACATATCCGGATAGCTGCTAAGCCCGGCTCCACCCCCGCCCGTGATAGTGACCGCCGCGCAGTTCATGTACATCTCGCGGTTTCCCACCTTGTTGAACCAACTCCAACCGAATAGGGCTTCTCCGCTTTTTGCTTCAGAGGGAACAGTGAAGGAGTAAGCTTGCGCAGATGCCGGGCAACCACCAACATATGAAGCCATGACCTTCCAGCTCTTACCGCCATCTTCGGATAGCACTGCTTGACAACTCCCGCCGCTGTGTGATGCCCCACCACCGATGGTGAAGGACTGCTGAGAACCTGCCGCCCAAGAGGCGACGGAGGCTCCTTCTGGGGTGCCCATTACTTTGTGGTGGCCTTTGCAGGGGAAGTTGGTGCCACTCTTTGAGAGGGGGGCGGTATAGTCGTAGTCGCCATTCTTGGTGTTTGGGTTCTTAGGGTCGAGGAGGGGCGGTGGATCTGTCATTGACATGTGCCCGCTCACGAGGACTGTGAAGCATGCTAGGAAGAAGAGCTGTGTGGATCGCATTTTTTTTCTGTGGTGAAGAGGGACGGATTTTGATAGTTGTGGAGGGGTAGGTATTTCCTTGATGCTGTGTAGGTGGTGTATTCTCTGACTTGGAGTGACAATGGAATGAAAAGGATGGAAAAATTCCCCGATATATAATAGATCTCTGCCGACACAGGTCGAAAATAAGACACTGTTCTAACTTGAAAGAACTTGGATGAATGCTATTCACATTGTGACGGCTTCAAGCAGGACTTATTCCTTTCTTTCATCGCAAGAAATGAATACAACAGAAGTGGCTCCATCCTTCTTGAAACGTACGCTGTGTCCTTCGCCGGCCGCGGCATCACCGAGGATCACTCGACGATTCAAATCTCGCGTACAGAGATGGACCTGACAGTGAGAGCTCTTGAATGGACGTGCAATCCGTGCCTGATAACCCGCCGGGATGGCTCTACTTCTCTATCGCACCAGGAGAATTCGGTTTCGCTTCTGCGGAGATGGGGCGATACCCGTTCAGGGGCACCGTTCTGATTGGCTGGCTTGAACAGTACACGTGGGAAAATCTGATAGGATTTGATCAGTGGTTTGCGCCTCAGTTTGGTTTGGGGAAACAACCGCAACTTTTTTATTCTCGTAGAGACGTGGGAGGCTCTGATGCTAGCGAAGTGTTAACTCCCGTAGCAGTAGCATCTATTCAGGGATACGGAAAACGGTTGGAAGGAAAAGAGGGGACAGAATTTTGAGTTAACTAACGGAAGTCTACCCCACGGTGGTCGTGATCTTGTGTTGGAAACGGTTTTCAAACCCGGAATCTATCCGTCGATTCGCTTGAATTTTAGTTTATGTGCATTTTAGTTTTTTTACTCCTTCCATTATATAACGAAGAAAACCCAAAACGTACCGGGAATGAGAATGAGGTGGGATAGGACCGATGGGTGGCTGTTGAGTTGACAGCGAACCCCGATAACGATAACGCAGGTACAAGTGCAGTGCATTGGTGTATCCATGTGATATCCTTCTCCACAAAATAACGGTTGGAAAGCTTAGCTCCCGGGAAGGTGGGTCAATCGGAATGTTCACTCGATTGCAAACTTTTAATTTTTCTATCCATATATTGCCTTGATAATTCACAAGTCATCATACGGGGTCCGCATAATCTAACATCTGCCGCGAGACACACTCGAGACGCACGAGTGATTTCTTCTGATGCCGCTGACAGCCGCCGCTCCGTCACCGCACATGAACCCCGCTCAGCCGAGTGGGGAATTTTTATGCACTTGCGATACATGATATGCGCGAGAATTCCCTTCCGGCACCGCACGTCTCATCGGGGTCGGTTTGTGTCTCATCCTGTCTGCGTACTAACTCGCATCAGCCGTTCTGTGATGACATGCCGACATGCATGTAGTGATAGGGTTTTCGTGGAGATTTGGGGCGCAGTGTTGGAGTGTTGCTGTTGTTTGATTGGTTGGGGGTGCAGGGGGAGGAAGAAACAAGTGGTTGTTTCAGTGTTTGGCTTGTTGGAGGGGCAATCGAGGGATCGGAATGGGCCAATGTGGATACCGTAAGGGCTTGAATATATGAGAATGGCGCTAGGACGTCCAGAATTTCCCCCTTGGGATTAGGGAGGGAAAAACACGGCGAAAAGAGTCGACTTTTCAGCCCTCAGCGGGGGTAAATAAAAAGGAATCTGCAACGAGCCTTACTAGGAGAGGTAACTCCAACTCGGGGTTTTCAACTTGATCCAGTTTTCAAGGTAGAAGGGAGGTTGCTGGTGTGCTGTTCCTTGGATGGGAGGTCATTCCTGAGTCATGGATGATCACTATACCTCGGAGTCTCGTAAAGCGCTGAAAGTGTAGTTTCCTCCGTGGCACGTATAGTACTAGTAGGCAGTCTTGAAGCACTGACCGGTTTAGCTGAACCATTGAAGAAACACCCACCAAGGTAGTAGGATTGACTTTCAAGTGTCGGGACGCACCGGACACAAGCATTTTAGAGATCCTCATCAATTTCGCAATTTACCGCTCCGGCATCGGCGAGATTTAACCTACCGGCGATCTGTGATAAGCATGGGAGGTTTGTCAATACACCCGCCACGCCAAGGCCGGCTAACTCCTCTGAGCACTCCCACTTCCTTCCCGCGGCGCGGGATGTGCTGTACGGGCCCGGCAAGGCGCGGGACTCAGAAACCATTCCGGTAAAAAAATGCGAGGGTAAGACGAGTGATCCGTGATGAGAGTTACTCCGCGACAAGACACAAGGTACTGTACTGTAGTGGTACGGTAAAATGTTCCACAACTCACCCTGTACGAGTAAATGGCGTAGAAAAAAGCGCTCACCCCACCTTCCCTCCCCCCACGCCGGCTCCTTCCGTTCAGGGCCAAACACCTACGCACCCCCCCCTCGCTCATACTTTTGTAGAGATCCTAACAGGGATGATCGATCGAGTTTTTTTTTTTTTACCGGTATGCGGGATAGCTTTATTTGTGCCAGTGCACGCACGTGCGGTGTGATGCCGGTACGGTGATGCAAAGGTTTTGTCGAGTACGCGACGGTGCGCTGCCGTGCCGAAATCGCCATCGCGAGATTAAGTTGCGATCGGTGGGGCACGAGGTTCGAGGGCTGTGCGGTAGAGGTGCGGTAATTGGGGCAGGATGGGTGGGTGGTGGCAAAAGGGTTCTGATGACCTTTTCCATGCGTTTGACTTGCTCGTTTTTCCTTTATTTATTTATTTTTATTCTTTTTTTTTTGGGATTTTATTCACGGCGCGGGGTTCGGGCGCTTGGGGGTGCTATGCGTCGGATTTGGAGGTCGGTGGAAGGGGGAGAGAGACGAGTGATGGGTTGTGATTTGAGATGCATGCTGGTGCTAGTCGTGCCTTGCTGGTGGTATCATAGTGTACTGTACTTGAGAATGCATGGGTCTGTCTACAGTCGCGGGCCCAAGGTCGCTTTTTATCTTGTGGGGTTGAATGTTGGAGGTCCTCTGGTGCTCAGCGGGCGAGAGTCCGATATCACCAGCATCTTTTTCTGCTAAGCAATCCGCGGTGCCATGCCGAGGGGGCTATTGATGGCGAGTCGGGGAGGAGCGTATGTGAGGAATCGCAGTGTGAGTGGAACAGAGAGTGAAGTGAGAGGAGTTGTTCGTGTCTTCTACCAGAAGCATGGAAAAGAAGAACGAGAGAATACAAGAGAGAAGGTAGCCATCGTAGCGAGGGGTGACCTTCTTAGCAACAATAAAACGGTCTCCCAACCAAACACAAAAGGAGTCACACTCTCGGCCCTGGCATCTATCTATCTATTTCCCCACGTATCTCTCTATCTGCGTCGCTGCTGCTCCTCCACATACTGCTGTTGGGATTATGCCATCAGCTATGGCCGGCCTGACCGCTTGTGGGAATTCTGGAGGATGGTCTGTCTGATTTTTTTTGCGTTGTGTGGCTAGCTGAGACTAGTAGAGCCGGTAATAGATAATAGGAAGGTACTTGGAATGTAGAAGCCGGGCTTGCCCTCGAGGAGTATTGAGAACAGGTTCAGAAACTACTGTGGACTCTAGCAAAAAGGTGCAGAGTCTTTGAACGTATCGCGGGTTGAACAGAAGGGACAAAGTGGAATAGGATATAATATGATTGATTGGAAAAATGAAACATGTTCACTGTAGAAAAAGGGTGGTTTGAAGGACACTTAAGAGGTCAAACTGAGAGATTATAGCCGAGTATGAAAAAGGTAAGTTACCAAGGCAGTGGTGGGATCTACAGGCTTCTGAGATTTTAGATTAATGGGAAAGGCAAGGGGTTCAGATAGTCTAAGGTATGCTAGTAGAAGAAATACTGGATTCTGAGAGGTGGACGAGAATGGGTGAACAGGTATGGTTCCGGAAGGCTAGACTCCATACTAGGTTTCTGACAAAAATTGTGACAATTTTGGTGGAAACACCAAGTGTAACAACTGTGACTACTATTACTCTATGACAATATAATAAGGGTAAACAAAGTAACCAGAAGTATTGATTGATAACTTGTAATCTGCTTGATATCGAGTCTGAATTTATAACCTGTATTTACCTACCACTATATCCAAATCATACCTGGTAACTACTCACATTTTTCAATTCTACTCTATACTCCTACATTGTTATTATTTAGAAAGAGACTTCCTATCTTATTGATATTTGATCCTAGTTTCTAGAATAAAGAAAATAAATAGTTAGTAAAAAATACTGACTGAATCTAATATAGGGTTAAACAATAAACCCAGAGGCCAGCCTCTATGAGGAAGATATCAAGAAGGCAAAGTACCATGTAGCAATAAGAGAATGAGTAAAAAGGTTTCATAAGAAGAGAAATCCAAAGAGTACTGGTTCTTGAATATCTACCATATCAGGAAAGGAGTAAATAAATAATTATTGACTTTGGGAAAAACTTGAACAGATTAGTACTATTACACTACAGAGTATAGTAGACAAACCAGCATCCATAGCTGTAAAAGTATACTCTTCTTGTAAGCAGACATAAAAGTACAGAGAATAAATCTAAAGGGTTAACAACTATGAAAAGCCAATACTGATAAGTGCAAAGGAAAGATCCCAATAGTAGTATGCTGAGAAGTAACAAATCTGAGTTCAGAATCAGGTATTCAATATTGCTAGTTACTAAAAACAACAGATTTTAGTAATACCTCTACTAGAAACCAACAGTTCTCTCTCCTGAGTCACTAACGAAGAGGATCTACAATAGTTAGCACCTGTGTAACCGGAACTGGAGTTTAGTTCGTTCAGTTCCAGGATTTGTTTTAAGTTTTGTTTTACTTGTGGTTTCGAGTATCCTTTGATACTCAGTTTGTTTTATTTGTGGTTTCGAGTATCCTTTGATACTCAGTTTGTTTTACTTGTGGTTTCGAGTATCCTTTGATACTCAGTTTGTTTTACTTGTGGTATTCGAGTATCCTTTGATACTCAGTTTGTTTACTTGTGGTTCGAGTATCCTTTGATACTAAG